GAGAGAGAGAGAGAGAGAGAGAGAGAGAGAGAGAGAGAGAGAGAGAGAGAGAAGGGGGGGTTAGGAAATCGATCAATGTCGTTCGCCTGCGAAGGATGTCGGTTTGACAGAATTATCGCATGTTTTCCATCTAGGCGATCTCGCCCATTCGTACATATTTGTTTCGCATCTGGCCATCAGTACCTAGTCCCTCAGTTGGGTCACCCTCCGCTTTAAGAAAGAAAGGTTACAGATCTTCAGCGCGGGAAAACCTTATGTAATATTTTCATCCAGAAATGGACAGGGCGGGTGGGAATCCCCCACGTTCCCCAAAATGGCGAAAACAATTTTTGTGTGCCCATATTAGGGGTGGTAAAACTACGAAGGCCTTTTTTCCTTTTTTTATTTTTTTCCTTTTTTTTATATTTTTTTTTAATGGTCCGTAGGACCACGGATCAGATATTCAACTGATCTCAACAGATACAGTGCACTTGATCTTCGCCAAAAGTCCGAGAACGGTATAGTGCAAAGGTTTTTTTTTTTTTTTTTTTTCAAGTGCAAAGGTTTTGGCGGGGAGGGAATCTAATAATTTTCCCGCTACCCGTCCATTCGCCCGAATAGAATGGCCGTCCCTAGTGCACCAATATTTACCCTTCGGTCCTTCGGAACATCCGTTAAAATTGGAACTATACAGAGACTGATGATGAGCATGGCCCCTGCGCACTCAAGGATGACACGCATAAATCGAGAAAGGGTCACCAGCCCGTACGTACGGAGGTCCCCGGCCAGACCTCCGTAGGTACGGGCGTTCGGGGTCCAGTACGGGGTCCAAACCGGACAGCGTTCGGCCCCGCCAACAATTATTTCGGGGCCTAAAAATAATTATTTTTTCTGAATTGTTTTTTGTGAGTTCTCTATGACGTGAGGTACATGCCTGTAAATTTTCAAGTCATTAAGATAAGCCAAATAAGAATTAAAAATCGCCAAAGATGGCGGTGTCAAAATGTGCTCGCCCACGTATTTTTTCACTTTTTACTTTTTTTGTTTTCACTTTAGTTCGGGGTCTAAACAATTTTATTATTTTTTTATTATGTGAAGTACACATCTGTAAAATTTCAGGGCATTTAGCTATGCATTCACATCTGTAAATTCTCAGGGCATTTAGCTATGCCAAAAAAAAAAGAGAAATCGCCAAAGATGGCGGTGTCGAAAACATGCTCGCGCACTCACTAAATTTAATTCTCTTTTTAATTTTATTTATTTTTATTATTAGTATTTGATTTCCATATTTTATTTTTATTTCAAATTTGGTAAGGAACTCGGACGTAATGCTCAGGCAAATCTTGTTTAATTTATTTTTATCCATAACATATCGTTTTTTTGGATTTTGTTTTATTTTTTTTTTTATTTTTTTTTTGGGTCCGCGTTCGGCCCGAACGGCCGAACGCCGATTACCCTGTATATATATATATATATAAATATATATATCGTCACAAACATATATATATATATATACCCTTCGGGTGTTCTATTTGGGCGAAGACCGGCTTCGTGGCTTTGGGTCGTCGCGCTGGTCGCAGCTCTGGTTCACCGCCCGGGATTAAACGTAGTGACGGGATTTACGGGAGGGAAAATTTACCTTGAGGCTCTCCCTGCAACCTATGATGGTGACTTGTCTAAATTAATCTGCATGGTCTTCCAGCCAGCGATTTTCAATTCAAATTCCGGCTATCTGGTATTGCTTATCTCAAAGCCTAAGCCATCCAGGTGTGTAAGTGCGAGCGGTTTGGAAAACAAAACAAAACAAAAAAAAAGAAATTGGATCGACATTGATTGCCCTCCCGGCTGATATAGACCCCTCCCGCTTTTGCTTTCTACTCTCTTTTTGCCCCCCTTTCGACGACTACCGGTAGTATCGCATATCAGGTAACGAAAGGAGAAAAGAAAAAGGGACGACGTCTCGATACGTTTCCAGATACGGTGAGGGATTGTCTAACGACTTTTGCTTATTACATCTCTTCTCATAATTCATTAATAAGCGCCTATTTATGCAACCCACTCTTCATTGACTATATTACTTATTACACGTCGCTAATTTCTTCGAAATTGTTCCAAAGCCAGGCTTCTAAGACATACAAGCACACAGAGAGACAGAGACAGAGAGAGAGCCAGACACAGACACACACACACACAGAGAGAGAGAGAGAGAGAGAGAGAGAGAGAGAGAGAGAGAGAGAGAGAGAGAGAGAGAGAGTCAAGACATCTGTTTTCAGGTAGCGAACTTGCTTAGCTAATGTTTGAAGAACTTCAAATATATCTCTGTGGTGTTTTAAGCATGAATGAATGCATCACGTACGATCCAGTAACTGCTTTTCAATCCCAGGGATCGGCGGAGATTATGTTCAATAGCAACGAATAGCAAGGTACTAAGGGTACTTTGCTCATCTGTAAAGAGTACTAAGACTGTAATGGAAATCGGTGTTTCGTCCCTCTCCGTATTTGAACATGCTGATTGTCCATAATGCTATTGTATTCCGAGAGCAGCATGATCTGAACGCGCAGCTGATTTCCGTCTTTCATATTGTGCCTGTGGCCGATTTTCTCACAGATTGCTGCGCTCCTGTCGACTGGCGGGAGAGTACAAACGCACGGGGACACGGGCGAAGCCATGCCGGGCAGCAAACTTGTTTTTTCTATTCAATACGAGCTTTCAGCGGGTTTCCCTTCGTTTCAGGAGGCGTTCGCTCAGTCGAAACACTGAAGAAAAGATCAGGGGAAACATAGCTCTGCACGGATTGAACCCTTGTGTCCTCTCTTCTGCTACACGGCCAAGGAGCTCTCTTCGTCTCTCCTGTTCATGTATATGTTGTGGCATTAATGTATTCTATCCACTCTCACTAACAGTGAGCATTCCGTAGGCAGTCCGTTGATGAGGTAATCACTCCCTGATTTGTGCACGCCTTTGACGTCAAGCGGTTTGACATAAGTCAGTTACTCATCGTGAGTCCATGAAGGTTACAATCATTATGACGGCAATGACTGAAAAGATGGTGACGAGGAGGAGAAAGGAGAGGCGTGGAGTTATCCACCACCCTGTTTGGCGGCGTTTTTGTATTTCACAGTTGTTGCTGGCTGTCGCACTTGCGCCGGGAACGCAAATCCAAGACTCCAACTGGAAGGGGGGTTTGGTCACCGTTCTTGCCACCGCGGCTATCAGCTCCTCCTCTTCCTCCTCCTCCTCCTCCTCCTCCTCTTTATCCTCCTCCTCCTCTTCCTCCTTGATGTTATCCTCTGACACATTGTCATTGCATTCGCCGTCTGCGGTGCTCCGAGGAGAGAGCATCAGTGGCACTCCGACAACTCAATGGATTGAAGAAGATGACGATTATGGGGCTGAGGAGGACGATGTGCATCGTTATCATCGCCATACCCATCATCTTCATCATCCCGGTTATCGCCATCGCCATCGCCATGAGCAGCGTGATCTGCAGCGGCAGCTCGGCGTTACTGATGAAACCAGCGCTCAAAAACTTGAAATCCTCGACGAGAATCTGCTGACAATTCGAGGCAATGCAATCAGCAACTTCGTGCCGGGCAACACGTCCTCGCTATTTTGGTCGGACGTGTGGTCGCTGTCGCTCTCGCCGGAGGACCGGTCGTTGTTCTTCCTTGTGAACGATGGGTTATGGAGGGTCGACACGCAGCCAGCGGAAAGAGCACTAGGGAACATTTCACGAGTCGCAGGGCCTTGGCGTCCGCCAGACGATCGCGGTTACTCCCAAGCTTTTGCAATGCTTGATCGGGCAACACCATCGGCCAACCCCTTAGCGCTTAACAGGATTGCGATAGTCGATGATCCTTACAACCGCTCTCTGCGTGCTTTCAACGTAGACAACGGCTCGATTCCCCCTCTGTTCTCCCTTCTAGGATACATGCCGGTCACACTTAACGAGTCGAGATTTCTTAGCTTGGCTTGGGATTCGAAGCGCGGCATCTTGTACGGGTCGTCGCAGAGTGCGCTGTATCGGATGAACCTCACCGTCAGCTATGGACAGAACGCCGTGCTGGAGCGGTGGGTAGGTCCTGATCGGAGTTTCACTGGTCTTCAGGATAGCAGCGATGATCCTAGGGCCGTCAGATTCAATAAGCCCTTCGTCAGCTCGTCCGCCATATCTGCGGACGGCGAGCTCCTCTACGTGGCAGATCGACAGAACTCGGTGATCAGAAGGGTGAAGACGGCCTCGGGAGTCGTCGAGACGGTCGCCGGCAGGGGGTCTCCAGTTACCCTGGATGCCCTTGGAATCGGCGCGGAGTTTCGCGAGCCTATAGGGCTGGCTTTGACATCCGATGGGTGTCATTTATTTGTCTCAGAATTTGCCGGAGGAACGCTGCACCTGGTCACATTCGAGTATAGTGGTGGGCCTGTTGTCAGTGTTCGTAGTGTCGCCGGGGCACACCGTACAGACCAGGGGAGCGGTTTTTTGCTATTGGGAATGGCCATCTCGCCAGACGACGATGCTCTTTACATAGGAAGAGCGATCTACAGTATTGTGGAGCTTGGGATTAATAAATCGGCGCTGTCTCCTTGCACAGCCCCTGCTGCCCCTTCTAGTTTCTCACCTCCTATTTCTTCATCTCCTGTCCCGAAAGGCCATCGAAGACACAGACCCCCCGGTTTCATCATTGGGGTAACCGTTGCTGCAGGGGTTGTTAGCTTTCTAGCAGGGTTTTTGGGCGTGACGGTGTGGTGCAGGCGGGGGGTTCCAGCGCGAGTTGTGTAATTCTAGTCGTTCAAGGCGATCTCTGAAGCGTGCGACGGCTTAGCGCCGAGTGATTGGCAAGTAGTAGGGGGAAAGCCGATATGCGCTAGCGACGGCTCGGCAGCAGCTTCGGCTCCGGTCTTATATGCCGGCAGGCACCACTGAGCAGTTCAGCGTTTGAGCACTTGGATTCTCCATCGCTCGGCAGAGGACTTGAGCACCGGGCTACCTTCACGAAGACACAGACCCCCCGGTCATTCACAGAGACATGACGAGCGAAGATGTTGTGCTACTGGATCATCTGGATGGACCTACTGGCGGAGGTGGGGGGCGGAGGGGCGCACGTATGACGTCGGCAGTGAGGGCTTGACAATGTCCGTGAGCGGCGTGACGGTATGGGCTGGCGTTCCGGGGAGAGAGCATGTTTGGTTGGATGTAGTTAGGCTCGAGCGTGGAGATCTAGTGGCAGGGACATTCGGGTCCACAGTACCCGAATACCACACGTTGAGCCTAGTAGATCCACTGCTCACGAAATGTGCAAAGTGAGAGCGAATCTTCCGCCAGAGCATGGAGAGATAGACTGCCATGTTTATTTGGTCTTTGTGCATGCGGTTACGGGAGGAGGGCGGCCCATCAGGAATAACGTTTACGCAACTTTACGGTTTCTTTGTTTTCGCACTCTCTTGCGTGTACGCTTTCGGGGTAGTCCCAAATTCACAAAAAATACATTAGTTATTTGCCTGTACGTACATTTCTGCGGGTCATTTGCCTGCCGAGTGCGAGCCAATAAAGGCAGTGAGGGTCGAGGTGAAGAACTTGAAGTCTTGAAGGACTTGGCGGAGGTGGCAAAGCAGGAGCAGGAGCAGGAATCAGGAGCAGGAGCAGGAGCAGGAGCAGGAGCAGGAGCAGGAGAAGGCGCAGGAGGAGATGGGCATAGTCGGCTCTTGTGATCTGGGTGTCATGTGAGCTGGGAAAGATCAGGCACTTCAAGAAGATAAGGCATGTCAGCGCCAATCTCGAGGACAAACACCGCTCGAAGGTTCATGAAATGTTAGTGCAAGAACGCACGTTGCAGCAGCCAGCAAGGCGCACGATAAGGGCTGGATACCACACATGATCAAGATTCGTCAAGTGTTCAGCATGTCTTCAAGAGTCGGGTTCCGCCCCCAAATTTGGGTTGAGCACCGGTTTGATAGTATTGATACCATGTGCTGGTTGCAACTGGCACGCTTCCCGAAAATGGCCTGGAGATGGACCTTTTGGAGATGGGCGTGTGGGAGGACAGCAGTGTGGACACGGTGAATGACTGGAGAAATAGCAGAATCCGGGAAGGCTCGCCTTCAAGTTCGACTTGGGGGGATGGGGGTACCTGTACCTGTTCTGGAAGACCGATTTTTTTGCACCCCTTTCACGGCCGTCCAATCACGAACCATCAAAACAGCCGCATAAACTTGGCCCCTCCCCAAAAAACCCCAACTATGTGGGATGTCCAGCCATCCCAAAGAGAGCCCTAAGACCCCCTACAGAAGGATCAGACTGCTCAGGGCTCTCCTGACCAATACAAGAGCTGTCTGCAAGGAATATACTTCTGCACTTCTAGCAGAGACCTCATCCCATCTGCTAGAAGAGATAAAGATATATAGCACCCAAGAGAGAACAGGATAACTTGAAGGAACCTAGAGGCATATAGAAAGGGAGAATGAGGGACACAAGAGGACGAGGGAGGAATACGCCAGGGAGCAGGAGAAAGGACAAAAGAAGGGATTTTGATGGGACTAGAAAATAGCTATGTGCACCCGCAGAGAAGCTATCTCAACATTCTGTTATAGAAGGCGCTCCCTAATGAAGGAGCATCCCTTTTAGCAACCAATGACAGACAATCAATTTACAATTGCTGGACCCATTTTCCAGCAGGTGCAGCTCCCCACCAATTGATAAAGTCTTCAACACAGGGGACCACTTAATCCACCGATACCTTTCCCTGCTTGTAAAAAAAAACACGCGGCGGTTAAACCGCCAGTACTTCCTAAATTCGTGCCAGTTAACAAGCCATGATTTTAGGAAGCGTCCAGGCCATTACAGGAGCGCCCAAATTCATCCGACTAGAAATGTTTCTACTCTATTTTTTTTCCATGGCCTACAGATGGAAGCAAAACGGGGTTCAGGGTTCGGCATCAGGCTTGTAGCGCGACGGGGGAGGAAGCCCGTGGGCCCAGAGAAAACGGGCAAGTGGACTGCAAGATGTCCTGTTCGTGTGCTCAGTGCTGTGCATTGAGGAGAAAAAGAGGAAAAAATAAAAGGAACCGGAGAGGAGCTTTGTTTTGCTTTCTCTTTTTCGTTTTGGAAGACTCCTGTCTGATGAGTGCCGGCCAGGCCTTTGGATCTCAGGGCTTCACTGTAATGTTAGCACTTTAAAGAATATATCTGGCTGCACTTGTGGGCAGCAGTGGATGAATCTGAGGGGAATCAGGTTGAGGGCTTGGTATCCCTTTTCTCCTTTGTTTTTTGAGAAAACTATGGCGCAGTTAGGGTTTGGTAGGGTCACGTGGGGGTGTGCTGCGTTCGCCGGATTGCCTGAAGTGCATTTTCAAACTGTTTTCGTGACTGGCCGAAGTTACCCCTTGTTTTTTTTTTTCCGTTTTTGGAAGAAGATTAGCTGACTGTTTGTGCCTTGACTCGGTGTGAGAGACTGCGAGCATTCAATTTCGGCCAGCCCTTTCTGTTTCAGGGCCTCACTGTAAAGTTGCCACTTTCCAAAATGTATCACCTTTGCGCTCTCGTACCAAATACCCTTTATTTGGCGTGCTTTTTGCAAGTCACACCGGTGCGGCCTCGCCCGTAGTTGATGGCGCGCATGCGAGGGAAAGTTAAAGTCCTCGCCCGGATGAGCGGTGGACGCGGTGTGACGACGGCGAAGCGCGGCCTTCCGAAGCCCAAGTGCCCAAGTGTGCACGACGTTGCAGGCCGGCCGGATGCGCGACCCCCTCCGTCCCCCTCATCTTTTTGTCTTCCCATTTTGTTAAGCTTATTTTTAATACTTTTATTGTTTTCTTATTTCTATTCTTACTTCTGGTTTTGACTCGGTGATTGGTTCCGAGACCTGCGGTGACACCGGCGGGTTCAGCTTGGCTGGTACACCAGTGAACTTTTGAAATACAGACTAGGGTTCGGATCTCGATGCTTTCAGATGAAGGGAATAAAATCATTCTGAATTGCCGAGGCTGGCCAGCGCGATGATGATATCCCAACGCTGGATGTGGGGTGCCTGCCGTCATGGGCTGTTATGACCGGCATTGAGGTGGGGAGCGATTGAAACACCCACAGGGGGCTGTCACAGGAGTCGGGGACCTTGGTATGTTGGGGCGAAGGACGGCATGAACGCGCTGGCACTTAGCACTAACCTGCGCTACGGACCGGCTGGCGAGGCCCAGCCATACTCCGTAGACTAGGGTGGTAGTGGTGATTCCCCATCGCTACCCTTGGTCATCTTGGTGTCCGCCTGGTCGTCTCGTCCAGGTGATGGTGGATTTCCCACCGGGCACATCAGGAGACGGTACGTCGGTGTGAGGTGCCTATCTTTTGGATCTGACGGTGCATTCAAGAAATGGAGTTGGTGGGGGAGCTACAACGGGGAGCTGACGAATGGCTAATGACCTTGGAGAAGGGGTGCAGGCTATGTGACACCCGCAGCCTAGGCCGCGGGCATTTCGGCCGCTGCGGGCGAGATTCTCGGCCGCGGCCGCGGCCAATGAGGCCCAGTCTGCGGCCTGGTTTTTCAATATTTTTTTTCTACGTCTAAAAATACGTAAAAAATATATATATATCTGTGGGTGTAGGGCTTGAAAAACCCTACACTCCTATATGTTTTTTTTTGGAATCCGACTTTGTTTAGGATTTTTAAAAAATCAAAAACTAAAATCGATTTTAACAAAATAAACAAAAAAAATATAAAGAAAAGCAGGAATTTTTTTTTGCCATTTTTTATCATGATATATATGGTCCCTGAGTACACCTGTTTTTTTTTTTTAATTGGATTTCTGTTTTTTGCAGGGAAATGAGGTGTTTTCAAAAAATAAAGATGCAAAATTAAAAAAAAAAAAAAAAAAAAGGTTTGATTGATTGATTGATTGATTGAGTGTGTGTGTGTCTGTGTGAGAGTTTTGTGCGTGTGTGTGTGT